AGGAATTTACCACATTAAATATTCAAGCCTGGTAAGGAATTTACATACTAAACATTCAAGCCTGAATATATTGATAAACAAAGGCATCTAAAATTACAAAACAAGCAAGTCTGTTGAAAGTTTACCTCGTCATCTTGCATTTGTCGAATTTGTCTCGTCTCTTCATCCTCCTCTTCCTCAGACTCATCATATGGACCTTCATAGCCGGGTGGTTCATCAGATAATCTTTTATCAGCATTGTTTTGTGCAAAGTCTTCATGATAGCCTTCAGGTGGGAGTTCATCTGGTGGATAATCATGGCCTCTACTATGTCCAGCCGCTACATTGGTCAAATCATCGTCGTCATAAACATGATCTGAAACAAACACTCATTTAAAGCACTGTGTAATAATGATAATTTAATGGTAATTTAATGATAGTTACAGAATTCTCCCAATGTAGAGGTGATAGCTTTCATATACCTGATTTCTGTTTTGCCTTATTTAGAAACTTTGCTAGGGGAATGTAGCACGTCATTATTTTAATGAAATTGTCTGTTTTATTCAGTTTATTTTTAATTCCTATTTCTTGAAACAGCTTGTAATATGTTTGTGTACAAAACTACAATGAAGGTCAGGACAGCGTGACCATTTCTTGTACATGCTTGACTGTAGGAATTGCTTGCCATGCATTTGTGCGTTTCTTGTCGTTTCTCGTGTGAAATGCGCCAATGGGTCTTGTCAACTGTAGCTGACACCTTGCACAGTAACACACGAGTCAATGAAAACCCCGAAACCCCAAGGTATGTGTGGCAACTATAGGGCTAATCTCGTGATAGTGATGTTCAGAGATGACTGAAAATTCCCATCTAGGGGGTCAAAACCCAAGAACAATAGTGTAGGGATAAGACAGGGTAGGGATAACAAGGCAATATAACATTGTTGTGTTATCCCAGGCGGTGGGACAAAATATATTCAGCAACTCTTAGTGATTTTTCCTGCCCCTACATACCCAAAGGTGGAGGTCAGGTTTATTAACTAGTGCATAATTTAGACATAGCATAAGACGAGACACGGCAGTAAATATTGTAAAAATAATATTGATAGTGTATTACATGCATCCTTAGGTACACAGGATATATGCAATGTAAACATCCATTCATTTCACGATTGTAGCAATGAATGAACTCATTTACCTGTATTTCTTTGAGTATATGCAGCTAAATCCCTATCCTGTTGTGCCATTAACTTCTCTAAACGTTGTCGCTCCCTTCGAAGTTCTTTTTCCCTTTTTTTAAGTTCATGTCGTTCATATTTCTTTTGCTCTTTGTCCTGTAACTGCCTTGCTAACTCCTAGTGAATATCAATCAAATATAGTGATTTGAATTCAGTGATATGTCTTTGGAATTTTCATTCTTGCACATAGTGATAGCAAAATCTGGCCTAGGAGGCTTGGCCATTTACAGTCAGTGCTATAATAGTTGGGATACTAAACACTTCCAGTGAAGTTGCTGATTTTCTTGCTACGGTATGCTTGTCTCACATCATTAGAACTGTTTTTTTTGAGGCTGATCTGTTTGGCTAAATGCGCACACTAAAAATATTACTGTAGAATACTTTATTTTTCCTATATTTCCTATATTTCACATTAAACTCATCAAAAATCAGTGAAAATAAATTCCACACAAAATGCTCAAAAAGCCTTTTCAGTGAAAATTAATTCCAGCGAAAATAAAGTATTCCACAGTATTTATTTACTATCATTATGCTACGTACTAGAAGCACACACCAGCAACTACAAGCATGTCCTGCGATACTGTAATTACATACATTTTGTTCAATTTTGGCGATACGTGTATCATCAATTTAAACAATTTGATAAAATAAATTGGAAGAGAATTGCATTTTCTATTGATATAATGTGCCCCTCAGTAATAGCTTGACATCTCCTAATACTCCGTTTGAACTTGCAAACAAATTGAAAGGTATACACATACAGCGTCTCTGTTCTCTTGAAATCTTAGTTGTTCAAAGTTCTGTCTTTCTTGCTCCAGTAATTCCTCGTAGAGTCGCTGAGCTGCTTGTCTGTCTTTTTCTTCACTGAAAGTAAACATAGTGAAATTATGGCAACCTTGTCCAAAGGCTATTACAGAGGAAACAATATGTACGTGAATAATGTTGACGTCAATGTTGACAGGCATATTAAATGTTTATCATCCAATATCGTTTGTTTGTATAGTACGTTGATATAGGTGATGTCATGGGCTACATACATAGTATAAACAAGAAGCCGAAATAGACCATTTTCCGTTCACTGCGAGAATCACGCGTTATGCGTGAAATCGAACGTAAAAACAGGACAAACAAAGGTCATAGCGTCGTAGTCGCGTCAAACATCGCGTGGGATTCGACAAACGCGAAAGTATTTCGGGGACATTTCCATGCTTAATAATGTGCTGTCCACATTTGATGATAGGCAATTTCGATTAAGTAAGGGTATTCGGAAGCAATATTCCTCTGTCGAAGATCGGCCGGCCAATGTAAGCTACGAAATAAAGAAATTCTAGTTCAAAATCAAATCGTTCGATTTTTGCGGCAAACGTTTGACGCGCGTCTTTCATGCATCTTGCGAGATCTCGCAATTGTACGGAAAATCATCTATTGAGAGAATAATACAGACCATGACACCAAAAGTATCAACCAGCTCTATAGGCAAATGTTATCAGGTGATAATCTTTAAATCACAAAACCAACTATCACTACGTTCACGTTCACGTTCTCAGCACGTGCCAAAATTTGGAATCCTTTGTGTTTGAAGAAGGATTACAGCAGTTGCGTTCACGTTATTCGGGACCCACTTAGGGCCGACTCGGCTCTTGCCAAAATCACACCCTCACTCGTCGATCTGTTATTTGGCCCAAAAATGGAAAACAATATGCATATGATGATGATAATAATTTATATACTTAAATGATATCCATTTGTTATGGTAATTATTATGAGTCATCGTGCACATGTCAATGTCAATGTAGCATTGCAAGAAAATAGCGGTTGCAGCAGCACATAAATATGCATCACTGATGACGATTTGCATTCATTTCATTCATATACTAGTATATCTGCATTCCTGTCATCGTAATTTCATACTAGTATGAATCAGCATACTAGTATGATCTCTTAAATTTGTCACCGAGGGCGTAATTTTGGCTTGTGCCGAGCATTCAGGCAGCAAATCTCGGCACATGCAGAGTTTCAGTCCCAAGCATCTATCGGGACTGAGATCAAATTTTTCCTGAGTCTTGGGTCGTGTCGAGATCTCTAACGTTAACGCCACAATTGAGTGACAAAACAACAAAGGAATCTTATTCAACGGAACTGCACTTACAAATCGTAAGTTAAGTTATGTTACGAAATGTACATGTATTCAAGTCACGTTTTAATAATAATTTTCTGACCAATAAGTGCTACCGAATTGAAAACCTATTTTAAATATTTTATTATTTACTTATTTATCACACACTCACATTTCTTGTTGGACTCGCAGTTTATCTTGTTCTTCATGAAAAGCAATCATAGCTTCTTCACCAGCAAAATCTTTAGCCGTTCTGAGATCTGTGCGCACAGTCCTTCGTCTTGAAACATTTCCTGAATAATGTTTCTCAACTGGAAGAAAAAACAGACTTTTACCAGACCTTGGCCCCAGAATAGTAGCACAATGTCTACCAGATATAAATGTTGGTATATGGACACTGACCAATTCAGTAATACACAACCGAGTCACACGAGTGTGTTCACATGTTTTTGTTTATCTTATATATTTATATACTGTACAATACTTTATTTTAGCTGGATTTAATTTTCGCTGAAAAGATTTTTTGGGTGTTTTGTATGAAATTTATTTTCACTGATTTTTGACAAGTTAAATGTAAAATATAGGGAAAAAGGTATATTCCCTGGATTTTATTTTCACTGAATCCTGATTCCTTCAGCGAAAATTTATTCCAAGCGAAAATAAGGTATTCAACAGTAATTCGGTTCTATCACAAAATACAGTTTTAGTACTCTCTCCAGAAATGTTACCACTGTCAAGGTACAAATTTACATACTAATTTGCATAACATTTACATACTATTTGCATATAGTTGATATTATTGATATATTATTGATGATTAATAACAAACACATTAAAATACTCTGTTACAGGATGTACACAATTATTCACATTCAAAACTTTCATTGCATCAAGAACGATATATTTACACACAAGTTTACCAAATTGATTTGAAAAGTCAGCAATTGCACAGTGGAAATAAAACCAGTGTGATGAT